TGTGCATAATATCTAATCATCTTATTTTAAGGGTAAAAAAATACTCATTCCATTGGTAGATCATATTATTTACCTACTCAAATTAAGGTTGAATAAATTTCTACTTATTTTTAGATCGTTTTTGTAGTGTGCAGAATAAATAACAAACCCTATCATTCCTGTAATAGATAACCTTATGCAACCGGATCATTCAGAGCTTAACGGTATGGTTATAATGCAAATGATAAGAAAATCTAAAAATCTCCAGTTTTATATTATTTATATCCCACATTAAATCAAAATAAGTTCCAATTACATATATCACATATACAATTAGGAAAAATAAATGCTACTCGGACTCATTATGGCTGGCATGACTCCAGATAAAGTTGCTTAGACTCCATCTGGAAGATTTAAAGCTCACATTAGCATTAGCCCACATGAGTCAGCTCTGTCCTGCAGCTGGAAGTGGAATGCTGTGGGTCAGTTGCACGTCTCCAACAAGGGGAGGGGGGAGGGTTGTTGATGTTGTCGGGGTATTTTTATGGCTCTGGGAGAATGATGGGATGAGCTGTCGGGCGGAAATGCTGCATCCATGGTTTATGGATTCATCTGATAAGAGTTGTTGTGTCATCATGTTTACTCGTCCTGACAGGACAGTGGAACAAACGTCTCAAATGTCACTTTTTCTATCAGAAACTAAAACATACTGTATAAATATCCAAGCTATGATTAGTGAAACTAACTTGAATGAAAACGATACATCACATATTTAAGTGAAAGCTTTTCAAGTCTTGTGAAATATTTAGACGTTTTTGAGCATTGTTCAGTATCACAAAAAGAGTCAGAGAGAGAATGACTGTAGCTACATCATGTCCATCTAAACTGACTAGCTACGAGAGGTTGCTGAAGATTCCCAGTCATCAAGGTCATAATCATTCCAAAAAAAGTAAAAAAAACAAACCACTGGACTTTGTTTTCCAAGAGTTTTTTCGCATTCTATCCAGAAGGCATTCTCAATAAAAAAAAAGCTACAAGAGAACATTATCTAGAGAAGAAGCAGCCACAAGGATTATGCTCTGAAGGAACAGCAGGGATCTAGACCTCAGGTTGGAAAAATTATTAATGAGGGGTGCTCTAGAAATATGGCTTGTAAGGGAAAGACGAGAGAAGATTTTCATCCACAAGCAATAGTCAAATGAGGCCAAAATATAACCTCTTGGTCTAATGTGGTCGTCTGGTAAATCGGATGTCCACCGAAGCTCTCTGTGCAATGTAACTCAGCGTGGCTATTTTATAAAAAAAAAAAAAAGTTTATTTTTATTACTTGCAAAGCCAATACCTTTTAAAATATTTTTTTGTAATCATTGTGCACCATACTTTACCCTAACAAAATTATTATTCTAAAATTAGAATTTTGCACTTTGTCTCTTTTGTCATGAGTAGCTTGGAAATGTAAATATACCTTATAGGTCAAAACAGATTTGCATGACCTGATTTTCAGTAAAGTGTGAAGAACCCACCTTTTACATGCCATCGACCTTCTTTGACAGTGTGGAACAGATCAACATCCTCCTGTTTCTCTATCCCTTCTCACTCATTAACAGTTTCTTCCTTACTGTACCTGACCCACCTTCATATCATCCTTGTTTTACATGTGCCTCTTATTTATTGTGCTGAGGGGAGATGAAAAAACATTAACCAACGGGCAGCACTTTGTTTACTTCTTCCACTTTTCAGCCAGCCTGAGTAGAGACTTCATAGACAGATCCTGCAGAACAAAGAACTCTGTGTGGACAGCTCATTGACTTTTACCTCAGTTACATCTCACCTTGTGTCACCATTTGTCTTTGTAATGCAAAGGTTGAATCCAACTCAGCAGGACAGATTATAGAGGGGATTGGGGTTATCACTCTTTTTAATGGCAAAACAGATACTCTAAAACCTGCACTAAACTCAAGAAACATCCCTTTAAAACAGAAGATCATTAAAACTGCCATTTTATGATTTTTTTGTTCAAATTAATTCAAATGGTTAAACTCAGACACATTAGATCCATTCCACACAGAGTTATATTTTTGGAGCATTTATCAAATATTTGCTGCTTGCTGATTAGCAATGAGTTGATGTGTTAGATTCTCTAACAGCAGTATTTCAGGTATTCATTAGTTGCAAGCAATACTCATCTAAATGAACTGGCATAAACATGTGGCATGCATCAGTCTGTGTTCATTACATCTAAATGATACGTTAGTTTTAGATTTTAATCTGAAATGCTAAAATTAATTTAGGCATACATCCACATTGATTAAGATTCACCAGTTATTAATGAAGTGAACATCATAGCTAAAGACACATCAATTATCTAATGAAGCAGAATTAAAATGAAATATATTCTCACTAATATACATTTGATTTCCAACATGTCTTCTTTCATTTACCGTAAATGGAGCTGAATTGAAAGTGCCCCCAGTAGTCACAGAGCTGGAAAATTACCTTAGAAATGTTAGAGTCTGGCTGAGAAGGATCATTAGAGCCAACTAAGAGTAAAAGCAGATGGGTGTGAGGTGTTGGCAGAAAGATCCAGTTTTCTTGGTATCATATTCTGCCTCTCTTATATGGAAGTGGTAAAAAAAAAAAAAAAAAAAATGAGCCCAAGCCTTCAGAATCCCGGACTGGATCTAAGATTTATTCTACTTAACTGTAATGTGATATTAAAAATCTAAAACAGACACAAAACTTTAGGGAATGCATGAATCAGTCCATTGGGACTTTGATACCATTCTATAGATAATCAATCCACCATATGAATTGGAAGCTGTCTAGGTGAGAGGCCTTTGAGGATTTTAAATGAATCTTAACGGACAATCAAATATTTGCTCTGATATATACGAAATTGACGAATATGACTGAGATGTACTGGAAGCAAAATTCTTTATAAAGAAAAAAAAAACATCTCATACTGTTTATATGTTTTCACAAATTTCAAATTGCATTTAAAAATAAGGATCTTTAATATACATATCTATATTTTCCCAGGTAATTGTGTGCCTTTCCCAGGTAAGGCACACAATTAGAAATAACTAAAAATAATCCCTTTTGCTTTCTCAAAAATAGGATAAACTGCAATGGATCTGTGATTCATGTTTAGCATCAAGATCCACCATAGTTTGAAAATATATATTTAATATTTTTTTACTAGACAAATAGACCAAAAATCATATGATTAAGAGGTCTGTTAAAAGCATCATATTGTATACCAACTTCAGTTTACTAGCAGCAGCTCATTTCTTACATTAGTTTTTTCTCAGGTTGCCTCCTGTTCCATAGCCTTGTGGTTGCCCCCAGTCTGTGGAGTGGACCATATTTGCTGTAACAATACCCCTCTAGGTGCAAAAATCTTTCTGCATTTCCTAATATAATCTCTGAGTGAACCAAATAATTCCAGGCAGTACTATTTCAGAGTTTTTATAAAGTTTATCAAAGTTTTTCCTCAAATTTAGTCTTTTTTTTTCTGGTGTTTTATATCCCCTCCTTTCAGCTCTGGACCCCTGCTCTGCCTACATCAGCTTAAACGAACCCTGGAGGAACTCAGACTTCCACGTCAACCAGTCGTCCAGCGTGCCTCTGTGTGACAGCCACATGTCTGGGGAGTGGTACCGTTTCACTGGCATGGCCGGGGATGCCATGCCTACCTTCTGCGTCTCAGAGTACCACTGCGGCACCCATGCCCCCATTTGGCTGAATGGCAGCCACCCACAGCTCAATGAAGGGGTTGTCACACTGCCTGTCTGCGCCAGCTTCAACAACAACTGCTGCCAGTGGAACGCCAGCGTAGATGTGAAGGCCTGTCCTGGAGGATACTTTGTCTACCGCCTACCCAGGCCCTCTGTCTGCTTCCACGTTTACTGTGGCCGTAAGAGAACATATCAGATGTTATGCAAAGTCATTCATTAGGAGGACCTTTTACTTTGCCTGATGTTGTTCATGTCTTTGTTTCACACAGATTTCTATGATATCTGTGATGAGGTGGACTGCAGAGGTCCAGGATGTTCAGATCCTGAGTGTCGCTGTGTGCCTGGAACTGTCCTGGGACCAGATGGACAGACATGCCTGGGTGAGACAGATGGGGACAGAGGAAGAGAGAGGACTGATAAACTGTATAAGCAGAGATAAACCAGGGGACACAGAGGACAGATAAGCAGGAAGTGGTTTAGGAAAAACAACAAGAAAATCAATCATATTCAGTTTAGGATAAACCCCACCTCCAGCTTTGACAAACCTCTTCTTGCTTTTGGATTAGCTGCTTGTTTCTCTGTCGAACTCAGATTAGAAAGGGGCCTAAAACAGTCTTATCAAACAGTCATGTTTTTCATCACTGAGAAAAGTGTAAAAAAAAGGCATGTTAATACTAATACCTGGTTAGCATAAAATTTGTTTTTTTTAGTCAACAGTTATTTGTTAGTTGTTTAATACAGCATTCCTGGCAAAAAGCGTATACATTTATTTATTTTTAAAAATGGTTTTTATGCTTAGCTACTGAGATAGTTTAGTTTGTTAAATGTTACTTGCTGACATCCCTAAGCAGAAATGTGTATGATATAAAAAAAGATCTGAGATGCAATTTTGATCAGAAGTTTAAAGACACAAGAGTGTATGAAAAGAATAGAATTAAATAGAATAGAATAGAATAGAAAATGATTAAATAGAATAGAATCCCATATATATCAGGAGATTTGGATTTGACGGTGGATTAAAAAAAGTGGACAGAATAAAAGTTACAGGTATGCAGACTAAATAATATGAAATATAACAGCTTTTAAACAGTTAATTGATACAGCAGCAGAAGAAAAACACATCTAAGAAAAAAAGTGTTTTCTAATAAAAAAACATATTCAGATAGTATTGAGAAATGTTTAAGTTCAAAACATTTTCTGCAATCATAAATGATGACTTTAAAAAGGAAACTGTAGAAAAATATTTCTAGACCAGGTAAAAAAAAAATGTGCCAATGATGTAAAATGTTGTGCTATTAATTAATCATTTAAGTCATTTTTTAAAATGTTAAATAAGCAAGCACTTTTTTCTGTAGTTGACAAAGGGTCTAAATGTTCAGACTAAAATATATCCTACGCTTCTGATAAGCTTAGTTAAGTTTCCTTTAACAACTTTATCAGAGCTTTTAATAAGGTCCTTGCACTATTCTGGCTGGATATTTGACCACTGATTTGATCAGAAATTATAAAATAAATTGAAATTTGTTATTTTCTAGTAAAGACTCAGCTTTTAATGATAAAGTTTATAGAGGTTTTATTCCAAAACATTGATATGTTTTCAATCATTTAAATGTTGAACTGATGTGAGCTGGAGGTCATCAGAGGTGGTCACTCCACAATATATTACACAGAAAGCTAAACATTCTGGTTGTGCATGTAGGTATTTTCCAAGGTAATTTTTCAAGGTAATAAATTTTTTTCCCAACAAAATTTCTATGAATTGCAAATCCAACAAAATTCAAAAGCGGCTTATTTGTGGATTATAAAGCTGAGGTTCAAGCTTATGATCTTGAATCTTGTTAATTTCTGGAATCACAAACAAGCTTTAAAAAATGTTTTGGAACCCATTAAGTGAAATGAGATAAACCTTCTGAAATAGACCTGAACTCAACCCTGTTTGAGCTATATCTTAAGATTGAGAATTTAAAACAGTTCAACAAAGTCTGATGGGAAAGATTTATTTTAATACATGTTTTTCTGCTTCTTGTTAAGGTAAACAAACAAATATCACTGGTTGTGTATCAAATTATCCCTGTTCATGACCTTAACTTAACTTAAGGAATCCAAACTTGCATGAATGTTTATTCTTTGAAAAGAGACAGACATACAATATTTTTTTCCTTAGAAAACCAATGTGCCAAATGCATCGCTAAACCTTCATGCCTGTGATGAGAAAAGTAAGACGTCTGACCAGAGTCTCTGACATGACTGAAGCTTACTGTGCTGTTTTTTTGGGCAGCAAAAGACTAGCTATTATTTATAGTTTCAAAATTAGTATTTTTGTATTTCTTTTCCTGTTTCATTTCCTTTAAACATGGCAAATGTCAAAGGATAGGAAAGTACCATGTTTGTTTTAATATTTTTCTAAAGGTAAATAGGATCTAATACTTTTCTAAAAGTGTTAAATTGCTTAAGTATCAGAGATGGAAATTATTAAAAAGTGTTTTATTTCTTTTAGTTATTTTCAGTCTTCACATCCATTTAAAAGCTTGAATGAGGTCAGAATCTTGATTAAAGAAACAGAGAATGAAATGAGTGTAATGTCCTCTGATGTCATGCAGAAGGTTTATTCGTCTTTCTGTCTGTCTGGTACCTTTTGTGGGCGACGTGCCAGCGTGCGGGAGCCCATAAACCTACAAACTGTCATTATCTCATCAGTCACTCATGAGCCCAGTCAGACTCTCCTGAAATGACTTTCTCCCTCCTCACTTCATTCACTCTCTTCTGCACTCCAATGTTGCACCTCACTCTTATTTCATCCATCATTATTTCTTTACTGGGCCTCTCAGCATTATCAGCTCAATTTTAAAGTACATCTGTCATCGTCCTCCTGGAAAAATGAAATGAATTGCCTTCAGGTGATAAACTACGCACATCTGCTGCTCGGGGGATTCAAACAAGAGTCACCTGATGTTACGATCTGACAGTAGTTTCTATGTTTCCTGTAGATGTAAATGAATGTGAGAAGGACAACGGTGGGTGTGCAGAGCTATGTGTAAACACCAAGGGTTCCAGGCGTTGTGAGTGTGAGCGGGGCCGGGTGCTGGATAAGGACGGACTGAACTGCAAAGGTATATGGAATATAGATAATGAAACAACAACCTGCTCTGCATTCTTATCACTGTCATTTCTCCCTTTCCTGCCCTGTGCAGAGATTGCAGGCTGTCACGTCAACAATGGAGGATGCAGCCATGACTGCTTCCAGGTGCTGGACTCCTTTCAGTGTGGCTGTCCCCGAGGGCTGGAGTTGGGGGAAGATAAGAGCACATGTCAAGGTGGGTGTCTGTATATGAAGCAGGTAGATTTTCTTCAGATAAGGACTAGATCCACGCTTTTATTTATTTCAACAGGTCTTATGGATAAAAACGTATTTCCATTGGTAGTAACAGTCAAATAAGAATAGTCATTAAGTGTTTTCATTTTATACTTTGATTAAAGAAAACATGGTACCAGCCTTATTAAGCTTTATATTTATGAAAATGTAAGGTATCATCATAAAAAAAGAAACCAGTTTTTAGAAATGAACATATATTATTTTTTTTTTACTGGAATTTACAAGATGGGTTCTGGTGAATTTCAATTCCCAACATAATCACACTATTTAAAAACGAGTGAGGCTCCTTTAAGTACCCAAGAAGTTTGAGGAGGGTACCTAGCAAATTTCCTAATAGTTTGGGTAAAGTACCTAATTCTGTTACCTGATAATACAGCCCAGTACTGGAAAAAATGCGGTAGGTTCCAGGAAATTAAAAAGAAAATGTATGGAAAGTTAGAGAATTTGTGTTTTCTATTATTCAAGGAAAGTACCTGATTATTTCTGGATTATTGAACTACACGTTTTCTGAAAGTTTGTAAAAAGTAGCGTATACGTTCTAGAGAAATGAAAAGAATGAAAAAAAAAAAATAAATAATACAACTGTTACATCATGGAAATACCAGTTAAGTTACATGAAAAGGGCAGAGTAACTTCCAGAAAAAAACTAGTTTGTCCAAGAAAAGAATAAACATGACATTTTAGTACAACTTCCAAAAAAAATATTTGGGCATTTTTTGAAAGATCAAAAGAAAGTTAAAAGAAAGTTCCTTGCAAGTTTCACCAAAGATTAGGGAAAGTATAAGAATGCACACTGCAAGTTTTTGAAACGTTTCAGACACCAAGGAATAGTTTGCATTAAGTATGTATTTGTATGATTCTATGCTGTTTTGATTACAAAGACTTGTTCTAATCTCCAGTGCCAGTGCGGTGTGATCCCAGCTCAATTACTGTGTCAGTTCCAAAAGACCTTGTTGGAGGACTAGAGCTTTCTCTGTCCAACTCGTCTTGCCGAGGAGTCTCCAATGGTACCCACATCAACCTGAGTTTCAGCCTGAAGACCTGCGGCACGGTGGTTAAGGTCAGCTGCTTTGCTTTATACTCTAAAAGTAAAGATGAACAGATAAAAAAGACCAATGACTGAAAACAGCTTTTAAGTGAAGTGAGTTTTTCCTCCCAGGTGATCGAGGACAAGATAATTGGGACCAACCTGGTGACTGGGCTCCCTAAAAGCAGCCCCGGCAGCAGTAGGGACTTAATAGTCCGGACCAGCAAGTTACTGCTACCAGTGACATGTGAGTTCCCCAGAGAGTACCAGGTGTCTGATGGGTACCAGGCAGCTGTGCAGGGCTCAGCCTTGGAGCTAGAGAGCCACAGTGAGGGGGTGTTTGGGTTCAACTTGGAGCTGTTCAAGAACTCTGAGTTCTCAGAGCCCTACCGCAGCCCGCCTCAGCTCCACCTGCACGACTCGCTGTTCTTCGGGGTGGAACCAAAAGAAAGAGTGGAAGGCCTCTCTGTCCTGGTTGAGAGCTGTTTCGCTACTCCGGGGCCCAAAGCCGACCAGGCCCTGAAATATTACCTCATCAAAGACGGGTGAATATCTTTATTGTTGTTGGATTATAAAATCTTAATGCAAATGTATTCAATGAAACAAATAAAAAAATATGTTTCTTTTTAGCCTGCATTAGCTAAAAGCTCCATCAAGCTTACATATTTTTATTGAAGTTTAGAATTTTATGAAATTTAGCTGAAAAAAAGCCACACCTTTTCTTGGGCTCTTAAACATCTGCTCCAAAATCATGGATCATTCTGTGGGGAATAGATTTACTGAGCTGAGCAGCAAAATGGGCTATAGGACTGACAATCGAATGTTTATCGATCAAGCTCAGTGAATTTGGACTTTTGTAACCTGGGAGGCAACTTAGGATTCCTTGTTGCAGTAAGAACAGGTTTAGGAACTTCCTTGTGCCACATTGCATTAAACTTCTAAAGCAGAGGATGAATAAATAGACTGAATGGTTAGTGGACGTCGAATTTTAGTTTAAATTATTATGATGAATGTTTCTGATGTGTTATATGTGTGGAGGTATAGGAGGATTCAGAAAGGTTATGCAAACAAAATTTCAATTTCCATAGTTTTATTGTATCTCATTGAACCAGAGAGAATTCCATTGATAATACCAGATTTTACCTGTTCTATCAAACCTCGGTACGGTTCTTAAACCCAGACGTGAAAATAGAATAATACTGTCTGGTATGGAAGGAAACACACTGGCTAACAGCAGATTTGGGTCCTTTGATTTCTGTCTGCTCAGATTTGTATTTGGCCCTGCAAAGGTTGAAGACCCAGCTATAAATTCAGCAAACCCTCTGACAGCTGCAGGATAGGGAACCCACACTCCTTCAAAGCAATGTCAAATGAAAGACACCCACAGAATTTTGTGAAAGTGGAGGGAAGACAGGAACAATGGAGCTAGAATTATTGAAAAGTGCTATAACTTCTACATTTCCAGTTTAAATTTCCCCATTGCTTATTTACTGGTACTAAAAGATTATTATTATTATTAAATTTATTATTATTATTATTATTATTATTTTATTTTTAATTTTTTATATTTTCTAAAAAATCAGTTTGAAAAGTCTTATTTTGCTGTAACATGACATTTCTGTTCTGCCACAAAGAGCTTCTTGGATTCACCAAGTCTCAAACACATACTAGCCTGATGCCAAACCAGTTGTTTGGGAGTAATACCACAAAAAAAAAAAAAAACCCAATGATGCATGCATTTTCTGTTTCTGACAACATTTGAATTTCACTAAACTCTACTCTTGGTATAATTTGTATTTTTTATTACTGTTGATATGACATATCAGCAACAAAACCTTCAGGTAGGTTCAGGATGAAGAATGGGTATGTAGAAAAGCACTTCATGGCCAATATTAGATGTGGTGGAGGATTTTTTTTTCTATGCTGAGGGTTTGTTTTCTCTTCAAAGGCTTTATGAAGGCTGGTTAGGGTGCATGTGTCACGATTTGGTTAAAAGGTTTAGATTGGACCCAAACGCAGAAGCTGGGAGGCAGAGGTGAATTCTTGGAGGGTTTATTACAAGATCAGGCAACAAAAACAGGAATCCAAAAATCCAACATAAAAATCAAACACTAACCAGAACCATGGAGACATCAGGGAAAAACCAACAAGGAGCCAGGGTGAGGAAAGGTAAGACGAGGAACCAGCAAAGAGGGACTGCAGAGGGAGTGTATTTATGGCTGACTGAACAAAGGTAGAGCTAATGAGCTGATAGGGAACAGGTGTGATTAGAGCTGACGAGGAAGCCAAGGGAAAAGAACACAAGGAGGCAGCAGGGGACAGACAGAAAAACCTAAGCAACTTAAATGAATCCAGACACACCAAAAAAGCTAGAAAACAATGAAAAACCTGGCTAAACTTGAAACAGAAAACTTAAAGAAAAACAACAGAACCAAGATCATTACAGCATGTTTTAATCATAAACTTAGCTAGCCACAGAAAACTGAGGATGGATTGTTGTTGGGTCTTTCAGCCAGCTAATATAAACGTGCTTAAAGCATCTGTGGCTTAACCTACAATTTCAATAGCAATCATTTATATGTAAATTAATTAAGGTACTGAAGTTCAGTATCTCCATTGACATTTTCTTGTTTTCTGTGATAGTGGGTGTCAATGCCTTCATTTCCAGTAGCAATATGTCCTCTTTTAGCTCTATGAATGTGAATTGTCTAGTAAGTGCTGGAACGTATTTTTTTTTATTTTTATCCAATGATACAATTAGGTTAAATTCTTCAAGACCCTAAAAAAAGTTATGTTTTTAAATTCTAAAAATCAAATGTTAGCTGGAACTTAGGCAAGAAAGCAGATAAAATGGATGCAAACAGTACTGTGTTGTGTTTAAACTGTCCAGATAAGGTCTTTATTCAATCTACACAGGGAAATAGAGTCAGGTTACAGGTGAGAATGTTAGGCACAATTATTTATGTAACAGATCAGATAGTAGCCAAAAAAAAAAAAAAACTTTTGAGGTGTTCTTAAATCTGTGCTTCATAGTGATAATCTCCATATAATGCTGGTCCTGCAATCCTCAGTTCTTTCCAGCCAACTTCAGCCTTGGCTGTACAATGATGTATGATAGTCTGCTTTGATCTGTTTATGTTAGTGTTTAATGGATGTAAATAATACATCATAATTAGGGTTTATAATATATGTTTATTACTGTAAAAATAAAATTTAATAAAATCAATATGCTAGTATTCAGGGTATTCCAAGTGTTTCTGTGAGTCTAAATCTGAGCAAGCTGTTTCCATATCAAATTTGGGTAATAAATTATTTCCTATATAAGTCATGAAATCCCTGAAGACGGATTAAATGGATTAAGTTTGTGGAAAGCTCTTATTTTTCCCATGCTGTCACAGTATTTTGGGTTACTTAAATTTTTTAAGCATGCAAGATGCTAGATATACATTCACAAAATGACATGTAGTATTTTAATTCAATTTGATTCAATTCTAAAACACTTAATTATTCCAAAACAGAAATCAGATGCTGTAGTAATTCAGTTTTTTTCAACAAGTTGTTGTAGTTGTTAATAGCTTTAGCAGGGAGGATCTTCTGTATCGGTGTGTCTTCCATCCGATCTGGAGATGTATTGTAAAGTCATATACAGCACCTCTTTAGTGCAGTCTTAGCTCCCCTTAAACACTAGAGCTACAGTAACTGAGCTAAATGCTGTTATTGGCCAACAAAACAGATCTCTGATGTATAATTTAATCTAGAGGGGCGAATCTGATCTTGTCTTTACAAACAATATCAGATTTACTAAAAATGGAGGGAAAGTGGTGGGAAAAATCATTTCACACCCTAAACCTTGGCTAAACAAACAGGGCTGCACTGCTTTTAGCTGGAATATCCTCTATTCTTTTTTGAAAAACAAGAAAAAAGTATTTGATTTTTTCCTCTGTGGATGTGATCGATGTTTGTGCGTTCATCCTGACCAGACTTGGTAAGAGCTTCATTGATCAGTTAACTCCGCTAGTTGTGAAACTAATTTAAGAATCTGAAACATCTCAGCTGCTGCTGCTCGTGTGATTGGCCTAAAGCTCTACATGGGAGGCAGGTGCCACTTGATGATTTACCCAATTAGGTTGAAGAACTGTGCTGATTGTCCCTCCCTTTTAAGAACACTTTCCACAGGAGCCTTTCCAGATGGATACGCTGTAGAATTCAAAATGAACGACAGTGTATTAATCTGGCTTATGCTAGGTTACATTACCAAGCCTTTGTCAAACTTGATGGCATGTGAAAGAGGCCCGTCAGTCGTTTAAATTAGCTGTGTTAGAGCAGTAATGCATCTAAAATCTGCAGGACAGTAGATCTTAAGGACCAGGGTTGGAGAACACTGAGTTAGTGCAATCTTTTGTCAGACAGAACATTGGCAAAGACTGTATCTGTTCCTCCTCACAAGGACCAATTATTACTATGTGATTGAAGAACACTAATCTCATTCTTGTTTAGTGAAACTAAAACATTTTTTTTCTTATAATAGGAGTCTGATGTTTTTTTGCAACAGTGACTAAAGGTTACAAGGTGCCTTGATCACAAGAACAACTTTTTCTGTATTAAATGCTGCAGGGCTGCAATGCAGCGGTTACATGTTAATCAAAGCAGTTTTTTTGTTTTTTTGTATAAAAAAGGGTTTAAAGCTACAGTGTGTAATAATTACAGGGATATACAGTCAGAAATGTAATATATTATATATAACTATGTTATTTCTCATCATCTACGAGCTCAGCCTCTTAACCTTAATATTTGCGTTGCCTTAGAATTCCTTATTTATAATTACATAGGAGCGGGTCTCGCAGCCATGGAGGAAGACATCTTTGCACTACGGCAGCGCAGAATCAACAAACTAGCGATTGCGAGATCGCCCATTACGCTCGAAAGTAACTAAGGCAAGTTTAGAGAGATGAACTGAGACGGTACTGAACACACAGACTAATGAAATACTATCTGTAAAATTATCTATGTAAACAAACCTCATCACTTGAGAAGGTAGGTGATGCGGACATCGTGGAAGACATTTTGTCCCGTAACGCTCGCCGTACTATTGGGGGGGAGAAGCGGTGGGGGGGAGATGTTCATGTTGCTGCGGTCTGCAGTCTGACCGCTAGATGTCGCTGAAAATTACACACTGTAGCTTTAATATTTTATTGTGAAGTTGCTTTATTTTTGCCAGTTGTGTCAATTAACATTATTTGCAAAGTTAATATTCACCTTCTTGCTAACTGCAATTTATAGTATGGAGTCTTCTGAACTTATTATAAAGATTCATTTATTTTAAGAATTTTTGAAGAAAGTTATTAATGCTAGAGCTGCAGCAGTGTTGTCCAGTATTTCTTTAATATGTTTGGCTTTCACAAATTGAAGACAGCTAATGTTGATGAGCTGACTCAGAAACGCATATGGAGGAGTGGTTGCAGTAGTTAAACATCCTCGCTTTTCTGAATCTGTTCTTTCTCCCACAGATGCATCTCTGACAAAACAGTGACACAATATTCATCAAAGGACCAGCTCTCCAAGCATTACCAGGTCCCTGTCTTCAAATTCATTGGCAAGAACAACCGGGTAAGAATGCTGACAGCAGGCTGGTGTGAGGGTTTATATCTGAGTTGTACAATTGCCATTTTAATGCAATTCATCTGCTAACAGTATGGTCTCCCGTTTTAACAGCAGGTGTTCCTTCACTGCCGGGTGTTGGTGTGCGGGGTGGGAGACACCCGCTGCGCCCAGATCTGTCTTGGACGTGTACGTCGGGAGATTTGGAAAAGAGATGATCAAGAAAAGCAAACATTGAACACAGGACCTATCTACATCCTGCCTTAAGTCTAAAAAAAAGGAATAGGACCCGCTCCTGTCAGGATATAAATCATACTTGCAAATGAGGTGACCTTTCCGTTTATTTAGAAGATAAAACACCAAATACATTCAGACATACAGTACATTGCACTGTCCCATAAACATACATAAATACACATACTCACAGAATACACATATTCATTCCAATATGTCTTCCAGCTATACTACTGACATTATAATGATTGACATTCCCATTACAAACATGAAGGCTGAGCTCACAGTGTGGCAGATGTTTTATTAGGGTGTCTCCTTTTTATTTTCTATGGCTTGATTGCAGCTTTGAGACTCAGATCTGTATAAATTTTATACCATCATCGACTTAGAAAACACATGTGGATC